AGATCGAGTCTACCCCTAGTGCTGTAATTGACTAATCAGTATGCATAGAATAAAAAAAAAAAAAAAAAAAAAAAAAGAATGCATGTATCCAACAGCAGAGGCGAGTGCAGTAATTGTTTTATTATTATTTATTTTCTGGAAGTAGTGGGCGCTTCAGTTTGATCTAAACGAAGTGATGGTTTGAAAAGGCGGAAAAATTTGTGGCGCAGTGTTCGTTTTGCTGCACATTACTTTTATATATCACAAGTAACACATATATCTGGGAAATAACTGGGAAATTTTGATCAACCATATTTGCTGTTTTCAGCCGTTTTCGCTTTGCACATTCGCTTCCCGAGCAAAATATTAAGCTAAGCGATACTTTCCGACGTCATTTTCCAACCGAGCTACGGTGTATACCAAATGACATCGAGTTTCAGTGAATCAATCAGAAAAACACTCTTCAAAGGTCTTCAAAGTTGAGAATTTAATAATAGCTGATATCCAGTAGTCGCTAGGCCAATCAATAGTGCCCCTGACTAGGTCTTTGAAACAACAAATAGAGATTTATAATTTTTCAGTCTCTCATTTATCGATAAAATGTATAGTGAAGAAAAACTAGTACTTCTGTTGGTAAAAATACTTCAAACGGCTCTGTGCGATGTGGCTTCCGGCCTCGAGGAGGATTTATGATAGCAAATTAGCCAATTTGAGTGCCCTTGAACGAAAAGTGATTTTCCTTTTCTCAAAGTCAGAGAGTTTATGATGGAGACAAGTAGGTTAGTTTTGTTATATTACAAGTGAATATATGAAAGACCATATATTTGAACTGCGGAGAAAGATATGAAGATAATATACCCGTAGATGGGTATAGGGTCTTTCATATATTCACTTGTATTCTTCACCATCTACGGGTATATTTAGAACTCACAATGTGACCAGTTCCCAGTTGGTTTGATAGCTCAGTTGGTAGAGCACTGCACCGGTATCGCAGAGGTCATGGGTCCGAATCCCGTTCAGGCCTGAATTTTTTTTTTCAGGCTTTAATTTCACAACTGCTTTTTAGAAGTTGTGTGTATAACTGCGATGATCAATCGCATCTTCATAGCTTTGTTATATTGTTCACATAATGGTTATATGTACGCAAAAACTGAGAATAATTTGGTACCTTCTGACAGGTAATCATTATTTTGCTAAGTGTTTCCTGATCGTGGTCCTGAAAAATGACGGTTTCCGTTAACTACGGTTGTCATCTAAGTGTAAGTTAAACTGCATATGATCAATCCTTTCTAGTGCAGAAATCAATCTGATTGCTGATTGATACAAAGCGATAAGAACACCTCAGATTAACATTTGAGTTATTGTATTAGAATGGAAATCGACAAATACACAAGTTGGCGTTTTCAAAACTTGTCGTATCGAAATGCTACTTGGTGTCGCAGTTTTCCTGGATAACAAACAACGTAACACTACACTATAGCTTTTACTATTGATACTCTCCCAAAACCTGGTGAGGAGAGAATAGAGTGTCTTTCAGCACGCTGAAGTAATGAAATGATGACGTGGCAACTGGAGACAGGGAGATATTTCAAGGGACACTATCATCAGCTTAACTCTCTAAAGTAAAACCGAAAAGACATATTTTGATTGATTGAAATCTTATTAAAATGCAGTCGAAACTCTCCACAACGGCCACCATAAAGACAGAGGAAAATGGCCGTTGTAGAGAGGTGGCCATTATGAGGAGGTACGGGTGTAATATGACAATTTTATTTTTTCTGGGGTGCAACATTTTTATCTTTAAAAAAGGCTTATTCTAGAATGGAAATACCTAACACATTCAAAATATATCGATACAACACAAACCAAACAGAAGCGGAGACTAACGACACGCAATATGGTCAATTTTCGTCACCTTTTACAGGAAAACGATGGCGATTTTTATGCACCTTTCGTGCGTCGTTGATTAACTGGCCATTGTGTAGAAGTTATTTTGACAGTTGGAACGCGCTTTAGAGGCTGTTGCTGTTGTGGAGAGGTGGCCGTCGTAGGGAGGGTAAAATACGAGTGATTGTATGGACCATCCGCCGGGACAAAAATAAGTACCCATTGTAGAGAGGTGCCGTTATTAGAGTTTCGACTGTTTTATGGTCTAGTTTTGTTAAATATTGCTATATAAAGGCACGCAAGCTATAAAAGGAGTGATTTAATAGGTTACGCATGCAAAAAGCTGTGATGTCAAATTTAAAACTTCTGGTAGACTTTTTCAAAGTTTTTCTCTGTGTATTGGAAAAATCCATTAAAACCAATTACAATATGTTCTTCCTTCACCACGTCACTTAATTTTCATCTTGTTGTTCTATGATCACTTTAAACAGGTCAGTCAATTTGCCAAACTTTATAGCGTTATTTCATATACTTTATTTTCACAAATCCGGTTACACGAATTCAGGTCACAATAAAACAAATTGATAATCTCCACAAATTCATTAAAATGAATCTAGGTAAAAATATAATTAATGCCTAGTTTTATTAATATTAAAATCATGATCAACACAGTGATTTTTTTGTTCGCGACAATACTTAAAGCTATTTTGTAAGGCAAGTACAAATATTTTCTTCAAATGGATTGATCAGTCGTAAATAAATATTTTCCACAGGGTCGTTCTGAAAACCACTTTATGTGAGATCGCCCCCTGTATAAATATTATTATTATTATTATATTATTATCATTATTATTATTATTATTAATATTACTATTTTGAAGATTCTAAATGTTTTCCAAGATTTGACAACCATCAATAAACTGAGACTTGGGAAAATGCATACTCCTATGTACAAGTACTCTCAAATCCCATCCATGCATGTTAATTTTTAAATGAATATCCCCTACTTTGCGATATGCAAAGCATGGTATTGAAGACTGTAATGACGTCTTTCATTAGTTCTGTGATTTCTGGATGGCATTTTGGAGATGTCAGCTACAAAGCCTTTCTTTACCGACAAGCTTTAACCTAATCACGCTAAGGAAAAGCTTAAAACAGAAACAGAGCTATGACTCAATCGTGAATAGTAGGCCTTAACAAGAATTATTTAAATATATTATGCATTACCTGATTAACCTATAACTGGTGCAGGATCAGCGTAACATTTCAATTCAATTTTTTCAATTTTTTTTAAAATTTTCTCTAATGAGATCCCTTATTCTGGTTTGAATGGCTCACTATAATTATTCTAATTTGACTGTAAAGGAAAATAACACGACAAAAGAGTCGACAAGACTTAAATTCTCATTTGAGAGCAATTTCTAAGACACTCTTATCGACTCTCGTGCCACTCGTTCACTTTTCCAGTTTTCAAGAGAGGAGATGAGAATTTTTGGTTATTTGAAACAATTTATTCTAACTTTTGCATACTCCAAAAATTTACTTCTCATCAGAATTGTGATGATTCACCGTCTTATTTAACTGAACCGTGACTCAAAATAAGCGGGTCAAAGTTTCCTTCATACGAGAGGTATAGAACTTTGATTGACCTTTAACCTGGACTCGAACAAGCGAACCTCGACTCGAACAAGCGAAACAAGCCGTAGAACCATCCATTCTGAAATCTTGTCAATATGTTAATGCGAGAGCACTTGTTTAATTTAAGATTTGCGAAAAAATGTGCCCGTTCAACAAAGTTTGTTCCTATAGCTCTGCAACTTGTTAAAGAGATTCCCTCACCACTCACTATCAGTCAACCTACACGGACAGCTAGACAGAACCTTTCCTAAGTATTCCCATTCACCCTTAAGTGGAGGAGAAGGGCCCTCGATTATCGGTCGACACATGTCTCTGTCTCCTCTTAGAGCCTTATGGACCACTGCGGTTCTCTTTGCACCTTGCTCTTGCTTGTGGACTTGAGGAGCTGTTTTGATAATCTGATGATACGGCCTCCAAGGACCTGATCTTCCAAAAATAGTGGGTAAGCGAAGATGGACTAGGTCAGGCTCCCTGAAAGGCGAGAAACGTGGATGAAACGGTTGCATTGGTGGATGAGCCATAATCCAGTTTCCTCTTCTGTGGCCGTGATGGCCCCATGGCGCCCAATGCTTTTCTCTGTTCTCTTCTTCTTCATCATTGTCATCTTCATGGCCAAAGTCACGGGGAATAAATATGTTGTGTTGATAATCCCAAAAACCTTCATCACTATCTTTATGAGCCATTACCACAAAGGGATTAGAATGATGGTTATATCCCAAAAAATGGCGTCTATGGGGGAAGCCATGATGATGGGCTAATCCAATAAGTTGGGGAAATCCAAAATGATATGGAAATTCAAATTGATGTACTTTTCGGTGGTAAGGGTGACGATTTTTCCCTCTCCGTCCAAAGTCTGGAGGAGACGTAAAGGTTTCATCTGTGTCCATTAGTGATGACCTTTGAGGAGGTTCTGATTGAGAATAAGCTTCTTCAGTGTCCATAAGAGTGCTACTTGGCACCGTCATACCTGTTAACACATTCTCAATGTCTTTGCTTTCAGTTTTCATTTCTTTATTGATTGTGGTTTTTACTTGATCATTAAGGACATTCATCACCTGGTCCAGCTGCAAAGCAGGACTACCAGTCATTCGCGGGTTGCCATAATATAGATCGCCTCCAGTCAGGGGACTTGGTTGTTTACCGAGGGATTGAAAAATTCCTAGACTATGTTTCTTTTGACATGTTAGAACTGTCGAACTTGTTTTCTCATTTTTAGGGTCGGCATGGCAATCTAATTGTTGTTGTGCTTGTGAGTCTCTGTCCCTGGCTGAGGTGATTGGAATCACCTTTCCATCGACCGAGAGTGATCCATGAATTCGTTGAGTCGGATTTAAAACGATATTCAAGGTAGGGACGTCTTGGGGTTGCATCGGCCCTGCGTATTGATCCCCACCTTCTATAAATCCTCCAACAGGCCCTTCGAGGAGGTTTTCCTGTTCCCTTTGTTGCTCTGGTTGCACGTTAGGGCGCGAAACTTCCTCCATTTGAAGACCATCAATACTACCTGCCAAATCCTGTCCTACATGGACAAAACTGTGTTCATTTTGCATCAATGACTCTGTGCTTTCTTTGTTCTGTGTATTTTTGTTTTCATTTTCTGTTGCATGAGCTCCTGAAGCCTGCTCATATTGGTCTTGTGTCTTGTCTTTAAGTGGTCTTGCTTCATCTGCCTCGCCTTTTCTGAGTTGCCCCTCTATTCCATCTGAAATCTTTAAGGCCGGCACTATCTCTTGCTGAAGAAGTGATAGAGCAGCTTTTTGGTTTGCGTTCATCACATCTGTTTTGTTGACCCTCAAAGAGGAGTTATTTAATGTTTGTTGCAACAAAAAATTAAAGTTTTTACTGCCACTGGTAACGTTTTGAGATTGGGTAGAGAAATGTTGATCAGCATTTTCGCTCATTGCTGAGTGGGCGTTTTCGATGGAAGAAACGTAATCATTTTCAGGCGACCAATTAGATGGACTCGTCTGTGGTATAAGCAAAGTGTTTTCATTGGGCATGGATGCTTGAGTCGCAGTTGGACCTGAAATGATAACTGTAACATGACCATTTGCGTTTGTGATCTTTTTTCCTGCATCATTTACAATAACGTGATATGTTTCTGGTTCTTGAGAGTTCGTGCTTATCTTTTTTATAATGGCAGATGGTGAAACGTTTTCCTGTGTCTGATTTGATAATTTTGGAAGATCTTGCATTTCGGACTGCATTTGGTCAACTTGTTTGATGCCTTGCATTTCCTGACTGTGTTTTTGATCAGAACTGCCTTCTCCTGGTAGAGTGGTATTCCGATCATCCACATGGCTAGTGGAACCCTCTGAATTTTGAGTGACAGTTTGGTTACCATCGTTACTACTATTTTGATGCGCAAAAGTTGGGTTTGATGAGTCACCTATACCAGAAGTTGACGTTTGACTGCTACTGTTTGTGTTACTCAAGGAATCTTGCTGGTTTTGATTATGATCACTCTCGTTTTCTTTGTTTGACGCTTCATCCTTTTGACCAATTAAAACATTGTTGTTCTGCCTGCCCGATTCAGAAATTACACTGTCATTAGATTTTGTGTTATTTAGCTTTACGATGTCAACAACTCCCTGATATACCGGTTCTCCAGTGTTATCCTGAATAACAACACTAGCTGGACTCTTTCCCTGATCTGTGTCTTGCCATTCCTTACCACTTGGCAAAGCAAACATAGAGTCGGAGTTTGAAGGGTTACTTTGTCCATCTTGATTGGATTCCATAGACGTTAACGCGTTTTGCAAGGCTTTGTAACCTTTGGTTGTGCTGGCTACCTCATTTCCATTTGCTGTATTAAGAAAATTTGAGATGTAGCCATTGACATTATACGGAGTACTTTCTGTTGCTGTGCTGTGGCGTGGAAAACCGTTAGCATCAGCTGAACTCTGGCCACCGAACCATAGAAAATGGTTACCAAGATTAATAACTTGGCGTGTAGTGACATCTCGATAGTTTTTCCCGTGTTTTCCTAAGGTATGAGTTTTTCTTGGAGAATGTAACTTTGAAGCCAAACTGTTTTTACGATTCTTTGTAAAGTGGTGCAGAAGGTCACTTCGCTTATTCCTTTGCTCTGTATTTGTGGAATTCAATCTACCTTGAGCGCTTTTCTTCGAGAATACTTCTTTGTCGGTATCGAAGAGAGCCCGGTTAGCAGAAAAGATAACAGACGAAACTGAAGAGGAATTCAGAGCACTTGCAAGACTTTCATCTTGCTGTAGCTCCGCCTGACGTTCTTGACCTTGGACACTGCTTGGTCTACGATTTAATAAAGCCTCATTTGTATTAGGCTGTAAGAGGTTTTCTGAAAAAGTTCTACCCGCGGGTGGTTCTTCGCGAAAAGTCTCATCCGTAACCTCACTACCCAAGTTTTCATTATTTGTCAAAGATTCTGCTCTGGAAGCAAGTATATCTGAATTGAGCTTTTGTAGAAACTTGTCAGGTTGCATTACTTTCTCTTGCTCTTCCGCACTGACCATATTAAGAGTTGCATTTAGGAAGAAACTGTTGTTAGAGTTTTTCTCTAAATCCTCTGGTGAGTATTCAGATGAACTGAGAGTATCTTTTGGCTCAAAGTGAAAGTGATTATCCTGATAAGAGCCTTTGGAAGGTATTGAACTCGGTATCTGTAGGTCAAACGATTGACCTTTTCTCAGACTTGTGACGTTAATTTCAAGCGAAGGAGCTTGCGCTTGCGCCGAAAACTGCTCACTGAGATGTGTTCGGTTTTTCTGCGGCAACAGGCTGGTATACACTGTCTGGTTGTCTACTGTCCTAAGCTTTGACTCTGATGTTGCATTTCCTGGTGCGTTATTTTGTATAGCCTCAGACACTGTGTGATGCATTGCTACGTTTGAAATTGATTCATTGTATTTGATTATTTTCATTTCCGGAGTTGTATTCAACTGCTGTGCCATGTGATTAACAGTGGTATTAGATTTAAGAAGCTGTTGAACATTTGCCAGAGTTGTGTTATGAATCATAGAGCCAGGCCTCTTTCCCTTTGCTGTGATATTTTTTAGTTCTGAACCATCCGTCGAAGTCGCATTTCGAAATGCAATCGGAGCTTTTTCACTTTCGGGCAAATTCGTGACCTGGAACAGTAAGTCTGTACTATTTCCTCTTCCAGTTATGTTACCACTGGAAGGCTGAAGATCGTTTACTTTGGCAACATTTTTTTCAGTTGAATTAGCAGGTGCTATCTTCACAGAAGTTTCCAAGTCCTGTGAGCTGTCTTTCATTGAGATTTGTTTCGACATATTTGCCATAGGGGAAGCATTTCGGGCATTTTCCGTGCTTTGGATTTCCCCTGAAGTTCTCTCTTTGTTTGCTGCTGCCTTTTTCATCTCATCAGATGCCCACTTAACGCTGTCTTCGTCATCTGAAATTCCTAGAATTCCGTAATCAGCAATTAAATGGGGAGTTTGAGAGGTTGTGGATGCATTAGTTTCGTATTTACCAACAGATCCATCGTTTCTGTTATCATGTTGTTGACCCATTCTATTCCCTTCCACCATACCACTCCCATCAGCGACCTCGGAATGCTTCCTTGCTTTATGTTCGGTAGCAAACCATCTGTTTGCTATTCTTCTTACAAATTCGTTGTTAACTTTATAAGAACGCTCCCGTTTTAGGTTCTCGTTTGTCTTCAAGGAATGAGACAAATCTGTCTTCTCTTTTAAGCCATTGTTGTGAGGGGAAAAAGAGTGTATAGGTGATTCAGATCCTGTAATAAATTAAACTAATTGCGTTAGTAAGCGTTACAATTTTTCTGTTTTATTAACTCGATGTCCTAAGCTTTCGTATTTCTCAGGGACGTCACTCTTTATCATACAAATGAAGACACTTGCATCAAGGTAGCGCCTAAGTTCTTCTAAACTGCTGTCTACTTTCATCAAATATCGAGGGTTTTCTGTTTCCAGCTAGCAATGTCTTGATTTCATTTTCGATTCAAAGACGCTGCAATTTGTGCATTGATTGATTCGGCGAGCTTGGTTGTAAACTCAATAAAGGTTCAACGCCGTTTGATCGTTTATTGTTACTTACAGCTTGCGAGTAAATTAACAAAGCATTCGATATTTTTCCGTTGCGTCGTAGGCTTTCCATGTTATTTTTATATTTTGACTAAAGAAACGTAATTGTTCTAGAAATTAAGGACACAACAAAAGTGAGAAGTTGTCGGTGGAAACACAAATGTGAATGCTTACCTGCTGAAACTAATAAGAGTCCCTCCGCCAAGACAAAGACCAGCAGGTTCACCACAATGTTACGTTCCGCTCTTTAAAGAGTAATAGTAAGATATATAGATATGTAAAACAATATATATGGTAGACTCACGAATGGAACAAAGGACTAAATGAGAACGAAACAATATCTCAGGTGTTGGGAGATTTATCTCATGAATTTAACGTTTCCAAAATTCTTCAACCACCTGCTTTAAAAACTAAATCAAACATGTGTCACATTGTTTTGCTAGCCTTCAAAATAACTGGCACACAGAGTGAAGAATAAGCCAAAACAAACCACACAGACTTACATCTCACAGCGATTTCTGTAAATAGCAGTATTTTAGCACTTTGATCAGGGCAAATGTTAGTGGATTAAGCACTATGGTTTTCTTGTCTTCAAGAATATAATATTCAAAGCACCTGAAAATGTCAAAATGCTCTCATTTCACGTGTACGATAAGAAGATTTCTAAATACTATTATCTGATAGTTACCATTTTTTATTCACCTCACCTCATTTTGTAGCCATGAATTTCAATAATCCAAAAATTTTAAAAGATGTTCGATTCTTGCCTTCCGGTTTTTGAGATGCATTCTACTTCCATTATCTCAACAGCTCTAACGTAGTGAAGTGATAAATATTTATTTCTTTGAGGATCAGTGATCTTTTGGGAGAAATACATAATTTCACCGGCTGGTGTTCTGTTGTGGACAAGCCGGTTTTGAAGAGGTTCGATGCAGGAGATTGCATTTTCTTGCTCACTTGGAAGGAAGGTCACTAAAACCTGGTTTTCCGTGATTGGTACTTTAATTCTTGAAAAGTTCCATGCTATTGTATTAATACTGTTTATTTATAAGATTTTTGCCCGTCGCTTCGAGACACCACATGTAATTATCCGCTGAACGACATAACAAGAGCATTGAAATTCAGTGGTTTGACGCTGATTGGTTTCAGCTGTTATTTCAAAGACATTTCGGCTAGTACGTAAGCGTTCATGAGTTGCACTAGCCGAGCCATTAAGCTACGACGTCTATTAAGTTACAATTAACATTACAAGAATGACTTGAATAACCAAGGTTACAAGACATGGATAAAACGAATATGCATGCAAGCATTTGAAAACTCTTGATTTATGCGCATTTATCAAATTTTATCTCTTAAAATTGTAGACATTATTATGTTTAATGGGAAGTAGATTGTCCGAGAGATGCTAATCATCGACAACAAAAAATCAGTGAACTCTTTATCTCTTAAGGTGGAGAAAAAATAGGTCGATACGCTTTACTCTCAAAATGCCTTTTTGATCCAGGGTTCTGACTGGTACCAGCGAAATGATGGGGTAGTCGCGTTTGACCGCCTTCACTCAGGAAGAGTAGGAACTGTGGAACTTCAGTTAATCAGTTGGGTAATTACAATAATTCTGGATCAACAGTTCTAAACCAGTTTAGTCCCTGCGCGGGTTGTAAACATGTCTGTGATTTTTTTCAGCCAGTACGTCGCTGTGGTTGGTTAAATTTGAAGTTTCGTATCTTCGTTACGGGCCAAGGAATTCGAAAATTGCCCGAGTTCATTTTCGTCGAGATTATTTTGTGACTTTTGTACATTTAAAATGTACGGAAATCAAATTCAGAGACTAAATGAAAGAAGCAAATACAGAACAGGACCTTTGTAAGTAATGCTAGAAGCATAGTCAGTGCGAAGGAGCGCCAGATTGCATCGACCCAAACATATCGGC